TCTGTGCCATCCTTTGGAGGTTTAAAAGGTTCCTGTTCCTGTGATACACATGGTGCCTAAGGACCCTGGTGTGGTACAGTGGCCACTGCAATCAGTGCTAGCTTCAAAAGACTAGACCCAATGTCAGTTAACAGCAGAACAATAACATCTTACCTATCCTGAACGACTCCAAAGTCATTTTATTAAGCAGGGGAAGGAGGTATGTTTAAAGTACCTGTGACAGAAGACACAGAACTAGGGACCAAAACAACTTCCAGGCTTGCCTAGACAAACCCTTCCAAATACCATGAAATCATTTGGCCATCGGGACCAAGCAGGGCCTTAATGTTGATTTATTTATTTATTTAAGCATAATTATCAACTCAGTGTCTACCTTGGAGAATGTAGGCTCTGATCCTACATCTCACTACCTTACTATAAATCCAGTGACTGTAGCAGAATTAGTCCTGTGTAAGACTGGACTTGTGCAGTGGGGAAATCCATCCTTGGTCAGTCAGCACTCATTATTATTACTGGAGTGGCTGAGAAGGAAAAGAAGTATCTTACCATGTATTTAATCTGATTTATAAATGCTAACAGAGCGTGTATTCTTTTCTGCTAACTATTTTTCACTTTACAAAACTTCTATGTTAATTAAGCAGAAAACTTTATTTTTAAAATTAACTTCTGCCAGTGAAATTAAAACTCTTTATCACATGGACAGAAATATCTTCACACAGTAGCTTTAGTGGTCTGGACATTGTCAGAATAAAATTATAATAAACACTATATGTATGCTAACAAGATATGGAAAACTCTGAAAAAAACTAGTGTACTTCTGTGATATTTCTATTTCATTCCTTTAATTGATAACTTTTAATAAAGAAAATGCACTAGTCAAGTCCAAATTTTTATTCATTGTGCCTCATTCTTTGGATCATAGTGTTTAGGTTATGAACAGATCAAGAGCCACGAAAGCATTTCAAGGATAACTAAGGAAGTCAAGGAAACATTGATATAGGTTAATATTTTGGAGAAAAAGAAAACAATCCAGTTAATCACCATCATTTTACAAAATTTAACTTTAAGCCACCTGTAAACTGACAAATGTCTCATAATGTTTTAGAAAGCTGGAAATGTGGAGCTCCTATTTTCAGAACTCATCAAGTGGCATCTTGTTTCTAACTCCTTCCCTGACAAGAGGCTGCTAGACTAAGCATTTGCTCCTTGTTATCTGTCTGAAGAGCACGTATGTAGCTATGCCATGCCCTCCTTTTGGCAGCTACACCCTTTCCTAGGAAGCCAAAAGTGACTTCAGAAGTATTCTGAACATAGGGACTGAAAGGTTCACTTAGTTGCACTCCCTGTGCTTCTAAGCTTTTCAAGACAGAGCATAGCAGTGCTGCTGTGGATTGAGTTTGGGTTCAACCTACAAGCATGGCCTACTTGGCTAGGTGGTCTACATCTCACTTCTAGACTACGTCACTTAAAGCCTACTCCTGCAAAGCCTGGCATGACTTATAGTTATTTAACTTCATAAAGTAACTGCATGGGTGGGTGTGCAGTTTATAGAGCTTTGCCCTCTGTCATAAAAGGTATTTTGTAACGGGGAAAGAAAAAAAATAGTAGTCAAATGATTGTAAACACTTGTTTAAAACATATAAATTTTAAAGTATATTGTTAGAAAATATATTTATTTTCTCCTGTTTTTAATGCTCTGCAACATTAGACCTCATTATTTTTTGCCTTTCAATCTCTTTTTGATGGAAAAGGAATGTTAACCATGTTCTTCCGGTTCTTTCTAGCTTTATTTTTTTTAACACCCCAAAAGAGTTAAAGGCTTCCTCTTGTTTCTTCTACCCATTTAACAGCCAATTGCAATGGTGACTGACACCTAACAGCAAGAAGAGAAGCAGAGTCTAGCAACTATGCACCTTCTCCTCACTCCTCTCTAGCCTCCTGCAATTGTTTGCTACCCAAAATGAAGCCAGCCAGCAGTAGCAGCCAGTCAGCTCAGGCTGCTCTTTTCAAATAAACATTGCATCCCCCTACATCTGATGCAGTGTGCCACAGCTCCCTGATTTCCAGGAGGAAGCAGTAAGTTTCTTTTCCTCCATTTCCTCCTGACTGCTCATTTTTCACCTGAAAACCCACTGTGGCCCTCTTATTGCTCTCTGCATTCCACCTTTACATGCATCTAAACATATTTT